CCTCTCCTCTCCTCTCCTCTCCTCTCCTCTCCTCTCCTCTCCTCTCCATTGCAGCATCTGATGCACGGACTCAGATGCAAATGATCCAAATCGTTTATTACAAGTTCTCACATCACTTATATACCTTCACAGATTTTATTTTTCTAGCTTTCGCATCCACCCCAACAACTTTCCCATCAACCTTTACATGTCAACAGAGCATTCTACAAAACACTCTTCAACCGTTCACATGGGCGCTTATCCAATCAAAGCCGTGAGATGTTCTTTCTTCTTCTAGAGGTGTCCTTGGTTCTCATGCTGTTTATCTTGCTCTACAGCTTCTGCTCTGAATAGTTTTACTTGTATTCCCACAATCCATCACATCCAAAGTGTCTCTGGGGTCTTGGGTGCCAGAGTTTTGAAGCATATCTCAAATCTGATTTCACACCTAGAAAACTAACATAATGAAGGACCATGTATTTGGACTACAAAGGATGGTAAACTCTAAATAAATATTATAATAACTTGTGTTAAACTCTTCAGAGCTTCGGTTTATGAAGACTGATTGTTTGATGAAATGAAATCTGCCTTCATTTTAGTCTCTTTATCCTCAGCAGTGTGAGATCCAAGTTTATCTGATTCTTAAAGCTGGATGTATAGCACTGCAGTGCCTTCCTCTGAGTAACAGGAAGACAAGCTGGGCAAGTGCTGTGTCTGGTTAGTGTTTCTACAGACTGTGCAGAATGATCACTCATCTAGAAAGAAACACTTTCTGCCCAATGTGAGCATCAGTGGAAATGCTGAGCATGTTCAGCACAGTTCTCTTTTTATCATAGAAAAGTGACATTCTCTATGGACCTGCTCCAGAGTCTGATCGTGTCAGTGAAAGGACTCCTATTGACTTCAGTGCAACTTGGAGTGCCTCCTAAAAATGGGAACAAAGCAGTAGACTTCATAAATCTTCTGATGTGATCCTTAAAGCAAGAATTCAGACCCCATGGGGCAAAGGTTTGTGATTAGAAAGATATTTGGCCTCTCTTTCTTCCTGAACTGAACTATTCAGATCTTACTGGAGTTTTGCTCTTTGAGAAAAATCATATGCCAGTCAGCATGGGGGATAGTTAGTCTGTTAAATGTAAAAAAAAGTAAATGCCTTTTACTTTTTCATTATTGTCTGAGATTTGATTAAGGCAGTCAGTGACCCTTTGCTTAGATCAGAAGAAAAAAAAAGCAAAGAAAAGCAAACGGAGCCATAGGACTAAAATTTGTTACTGAGAAATAGAACAGTTGAAGGTGTGGGAGACAGAAGAATTATCACAGCACTGATGGCACTAAAGTAGCTTGAGAGGCTTTAAACTTTCATAAAGTATGTGCTGGCAGAATTTCATCCTATACCTTTACCATAATGCAGACATTTTTTAATAGACAAGCTTGTTGGCATGAGAGAAGAGGTGCACATCAATGACCAGATTCCCCTATCACAAGCAGTGCTCATCAGTGATTGCTTCTTTCTGCTGTCTTTTGCCTAGACCCTTTCTAGGGAGATTTTTAAAAAGGTAGTCTGAAAATGAGCAGGAGTTGCACCTCTGTGTTCCTTTGTGCCATTGACAGAAAGCTTCTTCCCAGTTGAAGTGACCTTTCCTTCTCTCCCTTTAGAACTGCTGCTTGTCCTCCATAAGTTAGTGTTTTGCCTGACTGTGTTAAACACATGGGGAGGGAGGTCTGCTCACTGTACGACTTCCTCTTACAACTCTCAGCCTTTGACTCACGAGTATGATTTGGTTTTATCACTCCAGAGTGCGCTGTAGATGTTTGGTTTGCAAGGCAAATAACGTGAACCATCACTTTATCATGTGGAACCTCTTTTCCACACTGCTCTATATATGTCAGTCAACCTTTTAACTTGATTAGGAGGTTAATTTGCATGGTACTGTGTATGCTTTTACTGGAATATATATGCTATGAAATGTATGGTGTAAGTTAATCCAAAGCTAAGTAGGCCAATAAAAGCTAGTTCCTTAAGGAGAAAGAAAAAAGAATACAGCTCAATGGAAGAGAAGCTTGGTAAGAGTCCAGAGTCCTGACTCATTGTTAGCCTCAAGAGCGTCCTGACTAGCATCAACGTGTTCTGGAAGCAGTGTGATTCTCCTACCGTATTAACAAAAAATAATAAAATGTAATGGTAAAACAATAGGACATACCAGAAAATTTCCACTGAGACATGGTATCTCAGGAACACGCCTGTGGCAGAACAATTTCCATCCTGCTCACGTAATCGGTGTATATGGCACTTACATGACTTCGTGCCCACCATGGAAAAGTGAGCAGCTCTTTTAGGTGCTTGGGCTGTTCCTTCAACACTGAGTGCTTCAGAAAGCTAGTAAATAGAATATAAATTAGAAGTGTATTTGTGGGAGACACCCAGTCAGGGGGGAGCACTAGGAATGTACAGTATAGCCTTCATGGAAATCTGAAAAATGCCTCCAAGGCTCTCTACCCACATCTCTCCATAATTCTAATCTCAAAAATATATACAATTTGGAAGCAATAGAGTTCTGGAAGCTTGGCTAGTGTGAGCTCACAGTTATCTTTTACTTGATCCTGTGAAATAAATTATATGCAGCAAATCCCCACTGCAGATAAATTCTTCTCCATCTGTTTTCCTATAAGAAAAAAAAAAAAATGTAAAATTACTTTCATGCAACAATTGCACAAGCAAGTTGTAAGCTTAAAGACAAAGGAGAAGAAAGTTAGAACGTTTCCTGGTTTGATGCCAAAGATTTTTAAGATAAAAATTCTCTGAAAGTAACTGCAATAAACGAATGACTGTTGAGCTTGAACAGTCCTCAAGTTAAATTAGTTCAATTTTGTTTAAATATTTATTAGAAGCAAAAGAAAACATAAATGTGGGATAAAAAAATCTTTATATTTTGTCATCTTTTTCCCACAATGTCTCCTAGTCTGAAATGAGGTCACTGGATTTTAGTAAGTAGTCCAAGTACAATGCAAAATATATTTCAAGGCAGAGCTAAACTTTACATCTCGAAAGCAAAAGGGTTAACAGAAATATAAAATTATGTGAGAGAGAAAGCACTCAATGCCTAGGGAAGTATAGTTTTACCTGTCAGGAACAAGAAAGTTGGTCTGCATCCATTGCAGAGACATAAACTAATCTCAGCAAGGGCTGCCTGTGAATGAACAGCTAAAGCCTGATCAAATAGAAGGTAAACTTAGCAGAAAAAATCCCAAATCACAGTTTCGTTTTCTTTTTCAGGGATTCTTTTCTAGTTTTAAAAATGAAATAGGTCCAGTCTTGTAATTATGAGAATCAATAACGTTTATAGCAAAACTGACAGAAGGTGTTTATGGAGATATAATTATAGTTTGCAGGTCACTTAACAACCTTGCATGGGCAGTCCATAAGGAGAATATGACCAACTGCTGTGGATAGTCACCCGAGTAAACAAGGAAAGTGTAGAAGTGTGGCTTGTGAAAAATAAGCATTCTTATGGGGAAATGGAGAATGACAATAAGAATTACAGTGATCCAATGTTTCAGGTGTAACTGGGAAAAGAAGCATTTCAGATCCTTTCCTAAATATCTGGGAAATCTGAAAGGGGTTTAAAAAACAAATGAAGTGTTTGATGCTTATTTCAGCCCCTTTTGAATCACAGCACGTTCATTTAGGAGTTTGTAGGCAGTGAATATTTCTAGTTCCATATTCGTTGTCTAGCAGAAGCGCTCTAACTCCACTCAAAATCCAAAATCCCAAAATGCATAAAGGAAAATAATCCAAATGTCAAATGTAACCATGAGCAATTAGTCAATCCATCAGAGCAAAAGCAATCAAGCCACATCCTTCTCTTTCCTTTCTGGAGACACATACATCTAATAATAACCTCACAAGAGCACTTTAACGAAGGGAGGAGAAGCTGAGAGTTTTGACCCCATTCTAGAAAACAAATCATCTCCAGGAATTTTGATGCAAGCGCATCAGCCAGCGACATCCCAAAGTAAAAGTTTAAGTGACGAATCTGAGTTACACCCAGAGATCAGCGGGAGCACACTGCACCACTTGCAGCATGTGAGAACACCTCCAAAGGCTCTAACAG